TTCGTCGGTGCCAGATCCAATGAGAGTGACTCATTTTGTGACTGAGACAAACATTCACATTTGGACTATGTTAAAAATAAATAAATAAGTGGCAGGTGCTGCCGGGCTCGGTTCTGTGTTTCAGTATGGCAGTTTCCTGTCTTAAGGGTCATGTCTCAGACAGTGTCTACTCAGCCCCTGGTCACTGGCCCAGTGTGGCTATTGCAGTTTCTAACGGCCTTTTGGAGGTTGACGGGAAGGACAATGAGGAGGCTGGTTAAACAGGACACAGAAAGTGACACTCACGGCGTCGCAGAGGCACACAGGAGGACTACAGGCCCGTTCTCTTCTGAGGCTGGAGTTTCCCCACCACGCCAGCACTGACTGTTTTGGAGCAGTACCTACATGTGTATCCCGTTCAGGGTCTCTTTTCTTCACATAGAAGAGACTTGGAAAGCTCTGGTCTCGTTTCAGTGAGGCCGGGGAGTGTATTTAATATTTCCCCAGTCTGTACAACTTTTTTTCCTTTGGGAACTGTGAGGGTGCCCAAGGAAGGAAAGACCAGGAGAAAGAAAACATCCCATACTTTCAGAAAGAGAAGACAGGAGTGAGTGGTCGTTGATACACTGTAGGGGAGAAAGATTAGGAATTGCATATAACAGGGTGTAGGCAGGGCTAGGAAGACGCACAGTTGAGAAGGTGCTTCCCATGCAGTGAGAGCTGAGTTAGATCCCCAGAACCCATGCAGAAGAAACAGAGCATGGGCCTTGTGCTTTCAGCCTGGCCTCCTTGGCAAGCTCCACACCAGTGAGAGACAAATTTAAAACAAAACAAGGCGTACAGTGTTTGAGGATGACATTCAAGGTTGATCTGCACCCTCTGAAAGTGCACGCATGCGCGCGCGCACACACACACACACACACACACACACACGATTCATGCAGGGGCTAGAGAGATTGTTTCGCTGTTAAGAGCATGAACTGCTCTTGCAGAGAAGGTGAGTTTGATTCCTAATACCCACACTGGCAGCTGCCAACTACCTAGCAGAAATCCTAGATACTGGAACTCCAGCACCCTCTCCTGGGCTCCCTCGCACCTGTACGTACACACACACACACACACACACACACACACACACACACTCACACTCACACTCACACTCACACACCTAAAAAAGATTAAGTGGCCTGTGCAGAGCCAGCCATAGGCCTTCTCAGTGTGGGGCTGATGACAGCCTGCAGCTCTCCCTGACATGCAGCTGATTCCTGTTCTACTCAGCCTGACTGTTGGGGATGAATTGTGTTCGATGAATTATGTGGTAAGGCATCTCAGAAAGATTTCCTTGTTTCCATTAAAATTTTAAAAGTCACTTCTGTATTTAAAGACAGAACCTCTTCAGTCTGGAAAAACCAAGCGGAGCGAGGCTCGTGCGGTGGCTTTGCATAAGTGATACGGTTTTCTTCCCTTCTGCTCTCCATTGCTGTATCAGGCTTAATGTCTGTGGGGGCCTGTATAGAGCTGGGGGCAGAGTCTTGAAGAGTCTTATGTGCACTAACACAACCTGCAAAACGTTGATAACTTTACTAGGGTGGCCGTTGTGTATTTGAATTAAATAAATGGATTTTTGTCATCCAGAGCTACATTCATGTGTATCTGTCACCTTTTGATTTCCTCTTACTTGGAGCATCCACAGAACTCCATGCTGCCCTCTCCTGGACACCTCTACTGTTGGCACTGTTTTTAAACTCCATTTGGGCTTCCTAAAGCCCCTAGCTCCCTCCTGACCCTAGGCAGGGGAGAAAGAAGGTTGGAAGGGAAACGGGACCTAGTCCTCTTTACTTCTTCCAGCTGGGTATGGTTGTCAGCTTCTCGGGGCCAGTCGTCAGGCCGTCCCGCAGCCCAGGTGACCAGCAAATGCAGCAAACAGCCTTATTTCTCCTCCTTTATCAAAGGCTTCTCAAGGCATCCTCTCCCTCCATCTCCTCCATGGCTCCGCGCCCTCTCTCTCTGGCCTCTCCTGTTTATGCTAACTACAGCTGACAAAGACCATACTCCTCTCCATATCACATGAGGCTCTTATCAGCCGGGGACAAACTAAGGCAGTCCCATATCCCACACTTGGGATTAAAACAAAAACCTGCTTTCATGACACAGCTGAGTTTTTAGAGACCGAAACGTCCCCTACATTACTTGCTTGAAGTTAATCTAGAATATTGGTCTTAGGGACGGGGGTCTTAGCACTCAGTTGATGAGTGCTTGCCTAGCATGTGGGAGGCCCTGGGCTTGGCACCGCATAGACCAAGTGTTCACACGCTGGTGATCCCAAAACACAGGAAGATGATAAATTCAAAGCTAGCTTAGATACATGACACCCCGCCTGCTCTGTCACACACACACACACACACACACACACACACACACACACACTCACTCACCCATGTGGACACACAGAAAATACTGATACTTAAGAATTGCATGTGTGTTTCTCTTAGTAAGGATTACGTGTAGTTTTCCATAAATGAATGCCTAATCATTTATCACTCTTTCTACAGGGTGTTTTGCCAGCATTGCTGTGTCCTGAAGCATTGTGTGTGGATGTGAAATCTTTCCACCATGGTTAGGAATTGTGCTCATTGGGGTTTACAGGCGAATGAATAGCTTATTTTTCCTCTCCCAAGTACCTGGTGAGGTATTTTGTGAATAATCAAGAACTCATTGACTGATTAATAGAATTTTTCTTAATTCACCTAATTGATACAATTTTAAACATTTTAAAAATTTACATAACTTGACATAATTTAAAATAGTTCTACCATATGAAGCCTAAAGTAATCCATGTGTGAGAATTATTACAGATTGGTGTGGAGGTTGCCGCGGCCCCTCTGTTGCCACCTCAGACTCTTTTGTGCTTTTCCAGCAACTCCGTCCAAATGTAACATAAAGTTTAGTTGATGTGGAGGCTAAACCTGAAATACCTGCTAGAGAAATTGGTATTATATTAGTTATGAATCCTTTTTGTCAGGTATTTTCAGAATAAAATGAAGCTGTTTTTAACTACAACAACTTTCAGGTAAATTTGCCAAATTTGTTGCACGGAAGATGCGGAGCACTTGCCGTTTCTGCTTTTACTGGTTTTAAGCAGCAGACACTTTGTGGCGAGCTCACATCTGTAGGTGTTAACGGAGAGGGAGTTCCTGAGTTAGCAGCTCCCTCGTGTTCTGGTGAGACCGTAGAAAACCAGCTCTCGCTTGGGTGACTGAAAACACTGCAGCACCGGGCTGATGTAAGGGCCAGCACTGTAGGTGGGTACGGTTCTCCAGAACTAAACGCTGAGTGAAACAAGCCGCGTGATGCCTCCGCAGAAGTGCGCGCCCCAGGCCCCCCAGCTCAGAGTGCCGATCTTGGGCGGCCTTGTCTTCAGAGTTCGCTCCGGGGTGTAGGTGCGGCTTAGAAGGTGACTGAGACTTTCTGCCTACCGTTGAATTATCTGTGCCAAAGAACAAAACCCAAAGGGCAGCGAGGCTTGGTTTGAGGTCTAGGGCCACATTGGGGAGGGGTGTCAAAGATGACAAAGCGTCAGCCATCTAGTCCTGCGTTACCTGGTGAGTATAGGCTTCAGGGAAGGTGGTGGTAGGAGTTACAGCGTCCTCTAAAAGATTCCTTTTAGATTCAGTTACTTAATTTTGTGTGTTGAGTGTTTTATGTATCGCACTATTTGTACATCATACGTTCACTGGTGCCCTGGGAGAGAACAGAAGAGGGCTTGGATCACCAGGAACTGGACTTACAGATATTGTGAGCTGCCGTGTGGGTACTGGCAGCTGGACCTGGGTCCTCTGGAAGAGCAGCCAGAGCTGTTAACTGTTGAATCGTCTTTAGGATGACTCATCCCCCAGCCTTCTTTAGGAATGGTATTAAATGGTATAGAGGAAGAAAATACTGAGTATAGATCCGGATCGTGTGTGTGTGTGTGTGTGTGTGTGTGTGTGTGTGTGTGTGTGTGTG